ACACGACCAACATGTCAGACTAACAATCAACATATACCGAACCGAAAACCGTGACCACGAAACCGTGAACCGAACCGTGGATTTTGTGAACCGTTCCACCCCTATTAAAGAGTCATTAAGCTGTCGAATGGACAGAAGATCTTCTGTACATGATACAACATCTGCTATCATTTTTAGAAATGTGCTTAAGTGAATAAGTGAAGTGACGTCCTGGTATTTATTTATTTTTTCTTTATTAAAAAGCATAACTTACTAAAGCAGGACTGTTTGCTACTGATGAGTAACAGACTATTCTGTCTGACCCAATTCAACCATGAATGACAACAGCTGATTTAACTGGGCCATCAGACCTCTGATGATCCTGTTATAAATGTGTCATATCGGTCTCCCTGCTGTAAAATAAACTACATAACATTCTTGTCTCCCCTCTTATCCGGGTCGTTATTTCACTTCATACCTATTTGGTTCTTAGCATGTTTCATTTCTCTGGTGCAGCAGAAAGAGCACATTGTAAACATATTTCTTAATGTTGTCAAAGTGGAGGTTTTAAAGATCAGAATTAAATGGCTGAACCAATTTATTTATTTTTTTAAGAGTGTATTCACCTGAGATCCATCCTACCGGAAAGGAAAGGGGATACCTGTGAGCTTCTTGATAAATGAGCTCGCCCGACACCCGTGACACCCACTGGGAGTCAGGCCCACCCCTTGACCTTCTGACCTACACCAAAAACTGGCCACCAAATCAGGTCCTCCAGCGCCAAACAGAGACATGATGATATGTAGAGAAAAGAAGTTAAAACCTCAGCTGATCCAGGGGGATACTTTATCTACTGCTTATCTTCTGCAACGTCAGAGAGAGACGTCCAATTCTAGACCTCATAAGTTTAATGCTTGAAGCTGACAGCGTTGGTGGGTCGATAAAAGAAAAAAACATCTAGCTACAGCTACACGCTGTATCAGATTCCCAATCAGAGCATTCCCAGCACAAAGAGTTCATTGAGCAGCCAGAGAGTGGCGCATTGTCTCCCAAAGGTTAGTTTCCTTTCGTTGGGGCTACACCTTCCTTAACATTCTGCTCAGGTTAAGTGGAATGCAGGTGACAGAGGAGACAATCATAGGATATGTGTCGTGATCATCCCAAATAAAAAGCATTGAAGAACATCAAAGGTTTTAGATGGTTTGGGGGTATCAGGTACAGATGGTGTTACTAGACCAGAAATCCTTGCAAATCAGAGTCATTTTCAGCATCATTCAACAAAATGACATTTGTTTAAAGGCAACAACAAACAAATAACTAATCAAATTTTAATCTCTGAAAACTCATTTTATAATCATACAGCAGTGCCTTCACTTTCTGTTTATATTTGAGTTTTTAATTTTCATGTTTTAGCTTCATGAGCTTAGAGTCATTTTGGAGGATCAAAATAGCCTCATGTGGCTCTATGGGTTTCTGACCCCGGTAGTAGCCTAACAGATGTAGCAAAACTAAATCCTTTCAAACCTTTGACCAGCTCTTTGAGGTGTAAAAGCTGGACAAAAGCAGATAAAAAAAAACCTCTTTTATTAAATATTAAAAGTGCAAAAAGAAAGGTTTTTCCTCCCTACGGTCCCTGGTGCAAATAATTGGCAAAAACACTGAATCTTTTTTTAATTCAAGGCTCCGATAACACGGCTCGATGTTAACCATTGCCCGATCTCCAGGGGCAAGTAGTTATTATTGTCGGGAGAGTACAAATTTCATTGCATTTGCCCGCCGGGCAAGTACAATGATCGCAAAAAAAAAATTATTTATCACTCAAAATTACTTTAAAATCACCAACATTTGATGAAAACAACCCTGAAGTGTTGCCGGCGCCATTCTCGCATGATTTGAAAAAGACGGGTGATTTTCCGCCAGATGGCGTGATTTTTGTCCATCTAGCGATAATTTTGATGTAGTTACTAAAAACGCCAAACAAGCTAGAAAGCGCTATCATATGGCAGTCTTCTGTACAGTGATGCAGGTCATACGTTAAAAAATGTTCATTAAATTTTTTCTCTTAGACATTGGAGAGGTGCATTTAAATGTTATAGAGCTAAACATGTTA